TTCCTTCTACCATGGTGATACATTTTGAATAACAACACTGAAATTAGTATTACAGGGATGGTTCTGTGGATAACCACTTAAGCAGGTCCTTAGGCAAGAGTTGCTTATCCCTTTTTTCAGGTTCTCTGACTATTTGCTCCAAGAAAAAAAGAAAGATGCCTTTATGGCACCTAGAAACTTGGACTCTGTCTTGTGCCTTATTGTGACATTTACTCACTGAAGGTAATTTATTGTTACCATGCTACCTGTTCTCACAGCATCTCTCACAGTCCTTAGCATGTCATAATTGTTGCCATCCTAACTGGCTGACCAGAAACATAGCCTTCAGCTTATGGCGGTGGGTTGTATTCCAGTATAGGTGCCCATGTTACTCTAATACAACTAAATGACTTTTCTACTGGTACATGCTATTGTCACTTTTGCATAATTTATAACCTGGTAGTATGGTCCTAGGGATCAGCTTCCATGCATCAAGCTTCTGTAGTGCCTGATGTCTTCACTAATCGGACATTACAGTTTGCCCATAGACTGAAGTGTAGAGGAGCATACATGTGTCTGCTCTTGGTCCAGTCGTTTTCTGAACCCTACTTAAATGAACTGTATTTCATCATAGCCTACCTTACTCTTCTCTGCTTGGATGCTACTCATTTCCATGTTCTGAAAGAAAGCAGAGCATACTTCTTGATGAACTCTTTCCTTGAGGACAAGTGATTCTCTGTAAGCATACGGGCTTTTCTCTATCCTTGTTCTTCCTTGCTTTACAAAAAGTCTATTTTGCATTTATTTTAGAAGTTTTTAACAGTTTCTACCAAAGCTAAAAGCCTTTTTGCTGTGCAGCATCCTGAGCCTGACAGGGCCTCTGCTTGACATGAGCAGCACTTCAGAAAACATGGCAGTGGTGACTGTTTTAAAAGCAAAATGAAAATTGTTAGATTAAGACCCCTTTTTACCTTTCTCATTCACATCCCCCATCTTCTAAGCATTTGCTAAGGCATGGCAAATAACTGTGATGGCAGATGTATGATCTGGTGCAAAAGAACTGCTGGCTTCTATTTACCTTCTCTTTTTCCAGCTTTTACTTCAATTGAGTGTTCTAGCTATGATTGTTATGTGATGGTAGACCCTTTTTTAGATGCCTATTAACATAATTTTGTGATGTTGGTACAGTGTTTGTAAAAGGTCTGTACCAGTAAACTCAAGTTTTATTTAGGACAGTATAAGCTGAAATAGAGTTAAAAGTGTTCTGACTTCTAATTCTTTTCTTACTGTAGATACTAGGAACTGATGCACCTGCAAATCTATCTACAGAGACGAGCAGCAAGAATGAACCGGAGAAAAAGAAGAAAAAGCTACAAAAATAGCTGGATATAAAAGCTAATAGGAAGTCATACAGGCATTCTTTCTATTTACATATTTTTCCCTATGGGCGAAATGCTAGAAACAGATTTTGTTTACTTTTAAATACACGTTTTTAATAATTTTTAAAACTGGCTTTTAAAAAAAATTGTTAATGTATGTTTGCAGGAGAACAATAGTTTTAAAACCAACTATGTCTACAGTTTTGTCTTGTGGGTAAAAATAAATGCTTCTGCAAAATGAAGGAGTAAGTGTAGTGTTTTGGGGTTTTTTTTTAACAGCCTTAAGGCCATTCTAGAGTCTGACAAAAGTCAGTCTCTTTGGGCTTCAGTGCATTTTTTTAGCACCTCAGAACTGAAAGAAGCAATTGTACTAGTGACTGGTCTTGAGTGCTAACAGAATTTACTCTTGAAAAATAAATTTCACAGCCTAAAACTTCCTTCTGGGAAAGTTTTTTTTCCAGATGAGCTGTGTCTATATATGCACATGGTACACAAGTGGAGAAAGAAACCATACCATAGAAGTGTGTTACTCCTTGCCCTAGACTGTAAAGCAATCTAAGATCAGTGCTTAGCCTCTGATGAGCTGCCTTAAAGAAAAGGATAGAAACCATCAATTCTATTTGTGTTACACAAACACAAAAAGACAAGTTATGCAGTGATCATTCTTGTTTGCGTTTCCAAGATGCTGGTGAGTTAGAATTAGTTAGAATTCTAAAAAAAAACCCAAACACAAAAACACTTTGTGCCTTAAACTGCATCGTTACTGTCAAGCTGCATCACCTAGCTCTGTAGTCATAGAGCAGGTTTTATGTGCTGTGAAGGCTGAAGTAATTTTAAGTGTGCTCCTAATAGTGCTGAACTCCCCCCTGCCTTCAAGGTGATTGCTGTTGGATTCTGCAAGTGCAAGTTAAACTGTCCTCCAACAGGCCTGGGCTTATAGTCATTTTCATTCTGGCTTCAGCACCCATGGACCTGTTCTACTGATCATAGAATAGTTTGGGTTGGAAGGGACCTTTAAAGGGCATCTAGTCCAACACTCCTGCAATGAGCAGGGACACCTTCAACTTGAGCAGGTTGCTCAAAGCGCTGTCCAGCCTGACCTGGAATCTTGCCAGGGTTTCTCCACCCTCAAGGTAAAAAATTTCTTCCTTAGATCTAGTCGAAATCTGCCATCTTTTAGTTTAAAACTGTTACCCCTTGTCCTATTGCAATAGGCCCTGCTAAGAAGTCTGTCCCCATCTTTCTTATAAGCCCCCAAGTCCTTTGCGGCAGGGCTGCTCTCAATCCCTTCATCCCCCAGCCTGAACTGATACTGGGGGGTTGCCCCAACCCAGGTGCAGGACCCTGCCCTTGGCCTTGTTGAACCTCATGAGGTTCATGCAGGCCCATTCCTTGAGCTTGTCCAGGTCCCTCTGGATGGCATCCTGTCTGTCAGGCGTGTCAACCGCACTACTCAGCTTGGTGTCATCTGCAAACTTGCTGAGGGTGCACTCAATCGCACTGTCTGTGTCACTGATGAAGATATTAAAGATTTCTGGTCCCAACACAGACCCCTGAGGGACACCACTCATCACTAATCTCCATCTGGACATTGAGCCATTGACAACCACCCTCTGATACCAGTGCTTAGGTCTCAAACCCAAGAAATTGCAATCCCACATACGAAAGAGGTTCCTCAAGAGATCTTCTAAGAGTTACAGCTAACTTCCATACTAGTCACTTACTCCTCAGTGGTTTCTTTAAGTAATCAGTGGGGCACAGTTGATGAATATGTGGTTGTCACTTGGCCATATTGACTCAGCTCTCTGTATGCTGTCATTGTAAAGGATTGGATCAGATTTATAAAGTGTGTATTCATAAAAGGAGACAGTTAACATGATTAACTAACTGCAATAGAAAAAACCCCACACCCCATGAATGAGACACTTAAATTCTGTCACCACTCTTCTAAAAAGGCTTTGGAAACTAAAAATAAAATTTTGTTTCAAGAAAGATGTACAGAGCAATGGCTCTCTAACTAGTATTACACTTTTAATTCAGCACCATATATTTTAATAACTGAACCCATTTCTTAACTCTCAGAGAGCAAAAGCTTGCCCCCTTCCTTGCCTGATCGCCTTCCCCTGTTCCCCAAGGCCGCCCACCCAACCAATACACAACACAATACGCGTGTTACAGGCAGCACTCAAATGAAAGATGCTGCCAAGTGTAGCAAAAAAAACCATCCACAACCAAGCAAGCTAGGTATGAAAGAGATGCCTTTATTCTGTTTCACTACTCAATTTACAATTACACGTTAAAGGACTTCCGTTAAAGCTACTGAAATTAATTTAATGTAAACAGTGACCGTTTGTGCAACGTGTGCCAACCAATGCATTAAGTACAACTAGCAAAACAGAATGGTCAAATGATTTCCACAATACGTTTCTTCTACAAAATTATACAAACATAATAAAAATATGCATGTTTTCATAAAATAAATAATTCCCATCTAATTGAAGACTATAAAACAGGACAGACAATACAGGCCATTTATTGGGGGGGGATCCTTAATTCTCACATTCACTCTTTTCTGCGGTTACTTTTCCCCTGCCTTTAAGAAAATAGTTATACAGGGTGCAAGTAAATATTTTACTGATTGCTTTTTTATTTGTGAATACTTTGAAAGACTCTGATCATTGAACTTAATCATTATAAATAATCAAAAATTTTAATTAAAAAATAAAACAATCTTAGTTATAGAAATTCATGCCAAACAGTTCAGAAACAGATCATAATTTGGACTACCCTGCTTTTCATCTTCCCCTTTACATTAACATTACTATTTTTAGTAATCACACTTGCAAAAATAAACCCTTTGTACAGTCCAGAAATCCAAAATTCACCTTTTCAGTTGATTATTGTTGAAGAGAATTATCATGAGAAACAGAAAAGATGCAAGGTCATAAATAACTTTTAGATCTCAGACAAGTCATATCTTGCTTTTGAGCTACAAACCTTACAAACTAAAGCCAAGAACATTTTGAAGGCCTTATTCCATATATGCATTTTCCAGAAGTTCATTCTCTACTTTAACAAAATTCATCCCCTAAAAGTTACCGATTCAGTGAATTTCCAGCTTTTAGTAGGGCACTGTTTCAAGATCACGAAATGGGTAATTTAGGACATTAGGTTCAGTTGCTGCCCATCAGATATGCATAACAGAAATACTGATTAAATTGCTATGGAAGTAAAAATAACGAATGTCATGTTTGCTGGTTAGAACTCTAAAGTACTTTATTATTATTATTATTATTATTATTATTATTATTATTATTATTATTGCAATGTGAGAACTAAATCCAAATGATGCTTTATTGATGGTATAGAAATTTGTTTCTTTATGTTTTTCAGAAAGCCTTGACTGGTGAGTTATTAATGAAAATATTTCAAGCGCACAATGCTTGCACACAAGTCTTGGGTCTAACACATTACTTTTTAATGCTATGCAATTCCCTTCATACCTCCTCTTTCAAGATTTTTAGAAAGTGTTGTCAGTTGCCTTCAAATTTAGGCCTGACCAACTGTTTCAGGCTTAGTGTGCCAACTCATCAGCCACGGTCTATCACTTTGGTACAAGCCTTTCCGTGGGTTGTGGGACAGCTAGGAAGCAGAACTTCCACCCCATAACCTGGGACTGGATATCCATGCTATGACAAGAGAGAAAGACTACTTCACCTGGAGCACCTACTAGAACGGACTTTCCTTTTTCATTAATCCAACAAAGTTTATTTCAGAGCTCTACAAACATTGAGCCCTGAAATCTCAGTGTTTCCCTTATCTCTTCTTCCCCTCTTAGTCATGAGGGCTAGAAGATTACCATTCCCCCCCCTGCCATTCACATTTATAAATTCCATAAGGGTTGGTGTTTTTAAAACAAATCCAATCAAATTTAACCAAATTTCATTTGATTAGGCAAAGGTAGTTCTGGGCTTACAGACCCTGCTCATTCCATCACTTTTGTTCACTGATGGTTTTCTTGAAAGTATCAGGAGTTTGTTTATACCAGTATTTTTTTGCAGTAAGTGGCATGCAAAAATTAATTCTATTTCTAAATGCTTATGTAAATATTTTGGTAATTTCTGTAAGCAGACATAATAGTATTGGGAATTAAACATAAGAGGGAAGTAAAAGTGTAATGGTTTACTTTAATAGAACAAAGGCTGTACTATTCTCTTAATGATGTACTGACACCAATTAACCTTATTGCACCTTCTTACAGTCCTTCAAAAGAGTACTGGAGCATCAGTTTGGACACAGGTGTTCTTAGGAGACACTGGTGGAGTCAGGTAATCAACTTCAAGATTAGTACTAATACAGCTACTAAAGTAACACCACTATCATTTAATTTTGAAGTAACCAATACTGCATCTTATTTAGAGTACATAGTCAAGCTAACTGACAGATAATGCAGTTTTAAGAGTAAGAATTGCTTGTTTAGGGGGAAGAGATTCTATTTTCCTATTAAGAGATTTCTGTCACCTGTCCTTTTCCTTGATTTCTGTCAAACCAAGGAAAAAAACTTATCAAAGAATTGCTAAAAGGCTTCTTCTGACAGATAGCTTATTTTATTGCTGAGAGAATTGAACTTTTTTTTTCTTTAATTGTGGAAAAGTATGTAATTTCCATAACTGGAATGGAGTTTTCATGCAGCTGTTCACAAGGAAAACTTAATTAAAAGGACTAGCCTGGTATTCATTCAATCAAAACATCAATTTTCAACAGTTTGCAGTCTACTAGAAAACATGCACATACTCCATGGACCCATTTCTGGCACACTAGTTTTATTCTTGCCTCATGAAAGTTGCAGCTGAGTTTCATCACTGTTACTTTAGACTGATCTACTGATCTGCCAGACACTCACCCCTCTCCTGTTACCCCTGCCCTGCTCTCGGCACAACCCCAGCAGTTCGTTTCCGTCCAGTGACTCATTCTTGGTACCAGTGCTAGTATCCCTGAAGCCACACAGTAAATCTGATGAGAGGAAAAGCAACCCAAAACTAATACTGCTTTCCTTTCTCCCCCAAAGAAAAACTTCCCTCATGCCTTTAGGAACTGTGTCTTAAAATGGAGGTGTTTTTGCAGTTACATTGGCTCCTATAGCAAGTTACACTAGGTTTGCTCAGTCTACCTAAAATATTCCTCTTGAAGCTGAAGCTATGTCCAAACTTTCAAAACAAGGCTCCTCATGGAATCCACCCTAATCACAGAAGGAACACAATTCTGAAAAACCACTATGGTTTATTTGTACCAAGTCTACCCGCCTTAATTTTGAAAAAGGATCACAATGATATCAATAAATTTGTTAATAAGACCTGAAAAAAACCACATTATTTAAAAACTCCCGACAATTTATTACATCTTCATTAAAAAAGCAAAACAGTATGTATAATCCAGGTAATTGAGGTCATATATATAAAAATTTATTAGCCAACACAATTTAAGTTCTCCATCAGAAAACTACATACCATTTTTGTGAAATCCCTGAACTTGATTTTCATTTTTCTGTTTCCAGGCAGAAATGTTGCAAGTTGCATTTTGACCAAATACTGTACTATGTGTTTTTGCTTTTTGGAAACAGGATTGCTTCTCTGGAGATTTTGCTCTCAGCAACTGATTGTCCTTATGGTTTAAAACGGAACACTCCTAGGTTAATAAAGAAAAGTTCATTTTAAAACTACTTTCACAAAAATTCCCCAAAAGAATCAAGATCCGAACTTACTATTGGAAAATTTCAAGTTACAATTAGTACTTTCACCTCCCACCTCTCCCCTCCTGAAATGAAAAAGAACTGAAAGATTATGTTTTCTCTGCACAGATATTTGAGATGTGCTGCCAGCCAGAACCTCCTTTCAGATCACACATGCTCTGAATGAACCAGACTGGATTCTTTCAGCCAGCAACGTCCATCTTTTTTAATTTTCATTCTCTGTGGGTTCTCTGTTGTGAGACTTGAACAAAGAAACATAAGGGAGGCACAGCTGGTTCCAAGCGCAGTCTGCAGTGGACCCACAGGCCGGAGCCAAACAGCCAAAAACTCCCTCACCAGCACACACAGAAGGGAGAGGGGCCAATAATGCAGAAGAACAGACGGTTGAAGTGGTAAGAACCAGCAGGAGGAAGATGCTTCTGAAACCCCCAAAGGCTGAGATGCCGTTGCACAACTGCTTTAACTGCTCTGCAAACTGAAGAGCAAAGTAGCACAGCAAGCTGTAGGCAATCCAGCAGACACGGACTTGTTGGAGCGAGTCCAGAGGAGGCACACCAAAATGATCAGAGGGACAGAACACCTCTCCTATGAGGACAGGCTGAGACAGTTGGGGTTGTTCAGCCTGGAGAAGAAAAGGCTCTGGGGAGACCTTATAACAGCTTTCTGGCACCTGAAGGGGACCTACAAGGAAGCTAAAGAGGGACTTTTTACAAGGACACGTAGTGATAGGACAAGGGGTACTGGCTTTAAACTGAAGGAGGGTGAATTCAGGTTAGATAGAAGAAAGAAATTTTTCACTATGAGGGTGGTGAGGCACTGGAACAGGTTGCCCAAAGAAGCTGTGGATGCCCCATCCCTGGAAGTGTTCAAGGCCAGGCTGAATGGGGCTTTGAGCAACCTGGTGTAGTGGAAGGTGTTCCTGCTAATGACAGGGGTGATTTTAAGTATTTAATGCCGCCACACTTAAATCCTAATCCAAAATGCAAAGTTGGGCTTAGTCAGGATCTAGCAGTTGAAAGACTAGCAGTGAGAGAAGACAGCTGCATGACATTGGAGAGTCTCTAGGATAGGTTTGATATTAGACAATTCATTCTGATGAATATGTTCACATGTCCAACCGGGTAACTGGGGCAATACCTCAGAGGAGATGGGTATTTTTAGAATTTAAAGATAAAATATGCACCTATTCTTCTTCTAAAGGTACAGTTATCCTAATCTTAAATGAGCAGAGTTCAAAATATGTCAATGGTCTATAAGTCACCATCAATCTGCTCTTTACCTTGGTGGAGAAGTGGCTATTAGCATGTCAGATACAGAAGTGAAGTCAGGGCTGAATGGGCTTGAGCCTCTTTATTATCTGGCACTAGCAGTCAGTGCTGTCTCCCCTTCAGATTGTAAATGACACTAAATAGGAGACCTACTAAGTTTGTAAGACTGTAAGGCCATAATTACCAAGTGAGACCAAGTGAGAGGAGATGATCTTTGCTCTCTCCTCCAGAGAAACTAGCCTTGCTTCCCATTCTTTAAGGAAGTAGAACTACTTCCCATCAGTCATAAGATTAAGAGCTTGGTAATCTTGCCAGACATGTATTGTCTTTTGTTGTTTTTTTGTTTTGGTTTTAAGATAGATCATGAAAGGGCTTGTACTCAAAAGATTTTACCCAAGCAGAAAGTTCCCCACCAAGACAGCATGCCAGGTATGGTCCAGAAAACTTGAGACTAGTTTATGAAAAGAAGTGGCAGTCAATTTTTCTGAAAAAATGTGCTTGTCCACAGGCACGTGTTTAAAAATTTTAGCAGTAAAAAAAAAGAAGCCATGAGCAACCTCACAACTACACTTTATGTACATACCTCCATTTCCTCTGAAATGACTTTTACCATTGTCATAGAAGACATTAATTTTATTGCCAGCTTACACTATTTGTCCTGCATTTTAGGCCTTGTTTTCAACATATTTGAAATGATGCTACATTAACATGCTCTGTTATCACCTGACAGTTTCTCCCCTACTCAGACTTCCTGAAATTGAATAAAATAGGGAACAGATGCTTTAGATAGGAAGCCTATCACTCCTACCTTTGTTCTAAGCAGCTGAGATTTATTCTGAAACACGTTAGTATTCACATCATTCTCTCTGCAACTGTTTTCAGCCCCCGCAGTATCCATAATGCTGCTTCCACAAGTCTGTGTATTGTAACCACTGTCCACCTGAAATCAAGAAGGAGGGCTTTAAAAATGTACTGCAATTTATCGCCAATAAATCCCTCAGATTGTCATACGTGATATGACTTGCATATGATTAACAGAAATTCCAACAAAACAACTCTATCTATTAATAACAAAAGCAAATTGTAAGTGGGTCTGTCAGAATTAGTTTGGATTAAGTAAAACGTACTACTGTACATAGTAACACAAAAATCATTTGTAATTGCTATGCTGACTCCACTGAGAGAGGAAAAAGGGGACGAGGGGGAAGGAATGACAGTCACAATACAACCTGCATGCCACATCCAGTAAGAGAAAACAGACAATTACTTCCAGAATGGTATACATACCAAAAGTTAGTATGTCGAGCTGAGTTTTACAGAGGAGAAAAAAAGAGGTTTGTATTTACCTGAATACTGCTGTTGTCACAAGGAATTGCGCTGCTTTCTGCAAGAGGTGACATGCACATGCGAGAGTTTTCAATACTGAAAGTAATTCCTGTCATAAAGCTGGTCATCGGTGCATTGCTATTTCCAATTGTTTCTTTTATCCAAGTGTTTTCCTCTGACACTTCAGCTGCATCAGCCATATCTACAGTGTTATTTTCCTTTGAGCCTTCTATATCCTGAAAAGATGACAACCTTTGATGACAAACTTCCGAGTGATCTGGTGCAATAGACACAGTTGCTACAACAAGATGTGTACCACATGCAAAAGTATCACTGTCTTGCTGACATAAGTTTATTCCATTATCCATTTCTGGGAACCGAGCTTCTGCAGGAGAAGCATTTTCCTTGTCTTCCTCGTTCTCACCATGATTCTCAACTGCAATCGGTATTCTAATGACAGAAGTCTGATACTGGGCAGTTCCCCTACATGCTCCAAGCCTCATAGGAGAACAATTTTTAATTGGAGAACAACCATCTATATAAGGACTTCTTGTACTTGAAGGTGTCATTCTATTTGAGGAAGAAGGAATATCTGGAGAACGAAATGTAAATTTTCTTTGGTCTGTAAAAAACAACAAAGTTATTCTATTAGATATCAGGTGGAGTTAAAGTCATCATAATTAAAGCACTACAGTCCTTTGAATAATTCTAGCCAACTGCATAGTATTTCACTGATCGTCTTCCCAGCTCCAAGGCCTTCTAAAAAAAAAACCAAACCAACAAAAAACGCCACAAACACCACCAAAACAAAACAAAAAAACCAAAACAACTACAACAAAAAAGCTAAAAGCTAAGACATAAAGTATCACAGTAAAGGCAAGCTTTTATCCCATTGTCGCCACCTCCTATGACATAGTTTGCTGTACCAGAGGCCTTATATTTTCAAATGTCAATTCCACACAGCGTTCACAGGAAAATGTGTGAAGGCTGGTTCTATGGCCTTTTTTTTTCCTAAACCAACACAAATACACATATTCTATAGGCATTTAAAAAAAAATGGGGTAGCAGTAAGTTTTCAAGAAAATCAAACAAGTGGGAAAACACCTAGGCAATCTCCACATACAACAGTCTTGAAATACCACAAGGCTCGTCAGAGCAAAATCATGTATAAACATGCCATTAAATCTTTCCATGAAATGGATGGAACATGAAATACTGACATTTTCTAGAGCAACAAGGACACAAAATGCTTGTGATTTTTCACAACTAGATATAAAGCCAGGCTAGATATAAGGAAGAAATTTTTCACAATGAGGGTGAAACACTGGCTGCCCAGAGAGGTGGTAGAAACATTCAAGGTCAGGTTGGACAGGGCTCTGAGCAACCTGCTCTAGTTGAGGATGTCCCTGCTTATTGCAGGAGGGTTGGACTAGGTGATCTTTAGAGGTCCCTTCCAACCCAAATCTTTCTATGATTCTTCACTAGTCACTTTCATTTCAAACAATCTTGACAATCACATGATTTGAAAACTCAAGCTAAACACTCTTTGTCCAATTAATATGCTTCAGGTTGGGCCAAATCAGAATTGTGACCTGACTTAGTTCAGGCTTGTAGCTTTAAACCCCCTCCTCACACTACATTAACCCTTTCTTTTTTTTTTTTTTTTTTTAATTCCCATTAGGTCTCAATTTCTTCTTCTGAAAGATTTTCCCTAGTTGATTTGTGCAAGCAGATACACTTCACTGTTTCACATCATTAAGATATTTCACTGCTAAACAGTAGATGTGACATATAGGAGGAGACTGCTGGTCTGCCAAGTACAGTAACTTGTCTCCAAACAGAAACAAATTCCAGTAAGAATGCAGCAGCTTTTATAATCAAAATATATAAATCAAGGAAGAATAATACATATGCAATTAAACCATACCTGACAGTGGTGTCTTCCTTATGTGAAAAGCAATTGGTGAAAAAGTAGGAGAACCATTATGTGCAGGAGACCCTTCTGGAAATGTGGGACTGGTTATACTTCCCAGACTATAAGCCCTTGTTCCTCCCTGAATGGGGCTTGATGAAAACTGACCCTTCAGTAAAAAACAACCAACCAACCAACCACAACACAAAACAAACACAAAACAAAAAAAGGAACATATTTTCATAATATAAACTTTGACTAATATGTATATATAAAAGGTTTTCTAATTAAAAAGTTTAATAGGGCAGCACTGAGGAAAACTAATCCTGTACAATGACAATCTCTGTCATTAGTTCAGCTTAAATGTTCCAGTTGCAACTCTTCACTTGGACTTTATGCCTCCACATAGGAAAAGAGCAATGGACTCAAACTGTCATGTAATACCAACTAAGATTATAATGTCCATTATATTTAAGAACTATAAGAAGCCTAAACAGGGAATTAATGTTATCTGTGTATATAGTCAAGTATTTAATCTCAATTTCTTACACATACCATGGCAGATGAAAGCTAGTCACTATTTATATTTTAATGGAAACCATATTATCTGAATTATTTAACTCAGAAGCTGACAAAAGACTTTTCCTTAAGAGAAGAGAATTGTGGCTGTAATTTTGCTTAAGTGGATGGTGCAAAAAGAAAAGTCACTTCTAGTGGTAAAGTTATGTTGAGGAATTCTTTACTAGGTTACCATAACGAGGACTTTTTTTTTTTAAGACACACTCTTGCTGGGGTAGCTTTTTTCCATGCACTTCAGCCACCAAACAGATGAAACCATACCATTTTTTTTTAAACCAGTTTAGCTGTTCTATGTCTACCTGGGAATAAGATTCATCTCACTTAATTTAAAAAGCAGACATTATGTTCTATGTTCTAATAAATGTCTATTCATCTAATTATAATAATTATATCACCTGTTCGTATCAACTAGTATTTTAGACAGCAGCTCAGGGATTAAACAGGACTTCTTTTTGTGTACACATTTTATGGGGGGGGGGAAAGGTTTCAGCATGCTTCCAGCAAGTCTTGTATATGCACCAATTCCTGCTTCCTTTGCATAACGTAAAGCTAATGCATAATTCCTTCTATACAAAAGAATAGCAGCACAACATAATAATTCAAAATAATAAAAAGTCAGTAACATATTCTTTCAAGACTTTTTTTGTTCACATTTTTTTTTCCTGAATTTAGAATTTGAAAAAAAAAAACCCAAACACCAAAAACCAAACCCCTTTGTTCTTATACCTACTCTCTCATAAAGCAGTTGTAGCTTATTAAAAACATGGTTGTTCATCTTGTGAAGTCTGTTAGAACATGGAATCAGTACAGCCTGCTTTAAGAACTACTCTTATGCCAGCTAAGTCACATCCTACCCAGCCCCAAAAACAGGCTACTCACTGAACTAGATGTTTCCAGAGGGCTTCTGCACCGGACTGGAGATATGTCAATTGAACAAAGCACTCCAAGCGGCTGACTACCGCATGGACTATGCAGAGAAGGAGATAAACACTCAGATACACTTCCATTTTCTTCTAAAAACAGCTTTCTTCTGAGTGATGAAGAGCTCAAATTTTCCTGAGACTGATCAGCAAATTCATCAGTTCTAAAATATTCACCTAGAATTGTGGAAAAGTCGTTTTGAATAAGAATGCAAGAAAAAAATCTTCCACTACAGAGACATATATAACTAAATTAAAACATTCAATCCAATCTACCAGTACAGCAAGGAATTAATCTAATCTAGGCAACTATTCCAAAGGATTGTTTGTTATCATTACAAAAAGTCCACTCTGTCTACCGAGGTTCCATTTCTGCATATCATCCTTTATTAGTAAAGTCTGCATTTAAAAAAATAAATGGCGAGCATCTACTTATTGGCTTTTTTCCAAAACCTTATTGTTCTTCACATTTGAGTTGTGAAGAAGGGGTTACTATACTACCTAAGCAAGACAAGACCCTTTTCAGGTCTTCTGTAAGCTTTCATGTTCATGGTGATTGATACCCAAAAGCAACCCAGTTTCAACTTGAATTAAGTCACAGCAGTTAGCAGTTTATAGTAAAAGAGCATACAGATCTTAAAGACCCATTAAAATATGCTAAGACTTACTAGATCATTTTAATTTTTTGTTCTTCCCCTGTTCTAATTGGATACTTCTTGTAAGAGATGAAAGTTTTCATGAATTCACACACTATTCATTGATGGAAGCATTTGTTAAGACCAAACACAATAGATATGGTTCTGTTTTAATTTTGATGACCCACAGTCAGGCTTGTGAACTTCAATACTGGGATAGCAGCATGCAGGCAAAAACCTCCGAGCTGGCTATATCCACTATACCCATATTTGAACTGTAAGAAACAAGCCTTTCCAGCCCTCTTGCCTGAGAAGCTGGCAACAATTGCTTGACATAGCAGTTATAATCAGTTACTTTGGAGTCTTGTCTCCCCACTCAGCAGTCATGGCTTTTTTGCCACCACACAACTTCTAGTCAAGGCCATGGCTTCAGTTAAATTAAAGGCAGAGAATTATAGAACAGCTTTGCTCAAGGCAAGGTTGGGCTATGAGCCTCATAGCCAGCAATCGAATTCAAACAGCTCTGCTAAGTTAAATAGTTGTTTTATATGGGGGAGGAATGGGGGTGTCTTCCAGTAACTACCTTTTATTATGCATTCAGAATTGTTCATCAATTTCCCATTGTTCTTCCCATCCCTCCTCTTTTATCTTTACATCGACACACAAATCATATCATTTAAGTCAGATGTCCCATGCAACACACAATAACTGTCTATTTAGAACACATACTTAAAACTTTCGTTCATTCATTAGGTTTTCAATATTTCATAAGACAAAAAAAACAGCAAACAATACAAAAACAAGTTTTCTATTTAGATGTTCATAATTAAATTTAGATGTTACATGACATACCTAGTATTTTCTCTAAATTAAAATCCACTGGCAAAGACAGTACTGTCTGACAAGCAGCTGCAATGAATAAAACCAAAAAAATTAGCTTGTAATATCATTTTACTAAAACTGTAGAAACAAAAATTCACATCCAATTGCATTGCAATTGAGCTATTTAAGTTAAAGTCACAATAAGGACAAGTGTTAATTAAATGTAGGATTATGATTTGACAAGACTATATGCAGTACACTCAGGGTTAGAGATTAAAAAATGACGATTGTAACATAAAAGCCTCTAGAGAGGCATTCTTAACTGAGGAGAGAGGTCTCTGAAGAAAGGAAGGATTCAAAAGGAAATGGGAGAAAGATCAAAATACCCTGGGGAAAAACACCAACTATTTATCTAAAATGAAATAGTTTAAAAGCTATCTTAAGATTTCTGCTATTTATTTGTCAGAGAAAATAATCAAGATTCTCTAACCCAAAACAATCCAAACACATTAAATTTTGTATGGATTTGATGGGTGGACTGTTGGGTGGATAAGGAATTGGTTGGATGGTTGCAGGCAGAGGGTAGCAGTCAAAGGCTCAATGTCCAGATGGAGATCAGTAACAAGTGGTGTCCCTCAGTGGTCCGTATTGAGACCAGTACTGTTTAGTATCTTCATCAATGACATACACAGTGTTATCAAGTGCACCCTCAACAAGTTTGCAGACAACACCAAGATTAGTGGTGCAGTTGACATGCCTAAAGGAAGGGATGCCATCCAGAGGGCAGAGCATCCAGAGTAAAAACACATTTTCTTGAAACTGTAATTTACCCATAAACCTGAGGCTTACATTCACTTCTGAATTCAGAAAAAGTGCATACATTGAGTTGGAAAAAAATGCAGTCTACAGAGGACTTCAGTTTTTACTTTGGAAAAAATATGAAAGAGTATAATAGAATTAAATTACTATGAGAAATAGATATTAAAATTAATAGTACCATACAGTTCAAGAAAAAAATATGTCTAAAGGAATATTAACAAAAAAATAATTCCCTTTTGAAATTAAATAGCCATTCAAAAAAGGGTTGCTTTGCTTCAGAGAAAACCTGCCATTTCAGACATTGCCTTTTACCCACCATTGCTTTTCCCAGGCTGCAATGTTAGCTGTCTTCCAATTGGAGAAATGTTATTTAGATCTATGGCTGTAAAACAGATAAGAACTTAAATTTAAGCATGCATTTCATATAGAATTTTTTAATAACTTAGAATATTTAATGCAACTAAACAAAATTTTGGCATCAAAGTTTGGAAGATATTAGAAAGGAGTACTGAAAAGGCTACCATTATACCTGATCAAGAGAATTTCAGCACCTTTCTATTCAAAAAAAGCTTAGTGAAGTAGCATCAACTTTACCCAAATCTTTGTCTCCTGCAGCCTTCTCCACATTACAGATTTAAAACAAACCCAGCTTATGCTTAGCCAAACATGCTGTGTTCAAGTAAAGCACATTTCCAGAAAATCGTGCAGTCTGGACTTGAAGACAAAGATGAAGAATCTACCACTCCACCCTTTTTATACAGCTAAGGAACGCATGAGACCATTTTCTTTCACCACTCACTTTCCCAAGTCTAGGATTGTGGTTTATGTTCTCTGCCCAAGAAGTGACAATCAATTGACAATTACAGACACACTATCCACAAGCTGCATCTCCTTGATAAAAAATTTTAACAGTTTAGTCTCTTCCAAATCTTGCAAAAATCCCCAAACACTCATTTAAGAATTCCCTACCAAACAATATTGAATGCAAACAATACTTCATAACTGACATTTGTCCATCTTGTAATCCATTTACTATGTATTGTGTTGGTTATCTACAAACTTTAATAACAGCAGCATTAATAATAAAATCTAATAATAACATCAATGAAATAAACTTAGAAACTCCACAACCCCCAGTACAGTGACAATGAGCTAGCAGGACTCTAAGAAGACAACAAGAATTTACGTAGCAAGTAAGAGTAGAAAAATATGGAACTCTGTTTCCCCATATACTTATACTGGCAGGTGAGTAGTCAGAATAAGTCAAGCATACAGATATCAGAAGAAAAGAGCAAAGCAGAAGACTTGGCTGTTACCAGTATTGATCCAGCAAAGTTGTGTGTGGAAATTAAACTGGTTGAAGACAGGTTATGAAACGAAAAGGATTTAAGAACAGGAACGAAAAATAACAAAAAGGAAAAATTTTGTAAGATTCTGGATTAATAAATTATTTTTAAACAAAGAAAGCACTTGGAGAGAACAACTGAAAATCTATCAATTGTGCCATCTTTTATCATTGTTTTTTAAAATTTAAATTGAGGTTGAAAAAAATTATGCTTGATAATTTCCCCAAAGGTAGATAATTTTGGGTGGACAGACAAGAACAACTTACATTTAGTTGAATTAAACTGAGAAATTTGCTTGCCTTCATGTTCAGTCCAAGGAGAAGGAACTATGAGTCTTTTTGTGAAAAACTAGAGTAGAATAGAAACAAACTATGTTAGCACTTTTAAAAATTGGAGACTTGCAACTTAAATTTAGATTAGTACCCTAACAAGAAAAAATTAAGTCATACCTTTTGCTACTGACACATCTATATTTTATTACAGAATCACAGAAACACTAGGTTGG